CGTGGCGCTCTGCCGCCCCCAGGAGGCCAACTACTTCGGCTCGCTCACCCAGTCGGGCACCGTGAGCCTGGGCCTGGACGCCGAAGGCCAGGAGGTGTTCGTGCCCTTCAGCGCGCTGCTGCCCATGGTGCCGCCCGACGACCTGGTGTTCGACGGTGGGCCGAGGGGCGGGCTGCGCGGCGGGGGCTGGGCGGCGAGACTCGGGGCGGGCCCCAGCGTGAGGGTCGTACCTCCCCCCAGGCTGGGACATCTCTTCGCTGAACCTGGCGGAGGCCATGAGGCGGGCACAGGTCCTGGACTGCGGCCTGCAGGAGCAGCTGTGGCCGCACATGGAGGCGCTGCGCCCGCGGCCCTCCGTGTACATCCCCGAGTTTATCGCCGCCAACCAGAGCGCACGTGCTGACAACCTCATCCCGGGCACACGTGCGCAGCAGGTGCCCTCCCGTGTCCGCGGCCCCCGCCGTCCCACCGCTGCTCCCACTCTCCGCTGCTCGTGCCCGTCTTTTCACCGAGTGTGCCCCTCTGTGTTTGGGGAGCAGGTAACCCTGATCTCTGCGCCTTGGGGCACCAGCACCCACCCCCCCACCTGCTGCTCTCCCCACAGCTGGAGCAGATCCGAAAGGACATCCGCGACTTCCGGTCCCGTGCGGGGCTGGATAAGGTCATCGTGCTGTGGACAGCGAACACGGAGCGTTTCTGCGACGTGGTGCCGGGTCTCAACGACACGGCAGAGAACCTGCTGCGCACCATCCAGGTGGCCGCCGGGCGGGGCGGGGCGGGGCGGGGGTGCGGCCGCAGGGCCCGCTGACACGCCCCGTCCCGCAGCACGGAAGGGAGGTGTCGCCGTCCACGCTCTTCGCCGTGGCCAGCGTCCTGGAGGGCTGCGCCTTCCTCAACGGGTCCCCACAGAACACGCTGGTGCCCGGGGCGCTTGAACTGGCCGAGCAGCACCGCGTGTTCGTGGGCGGCGACGACTTCAAGTCGGGCCAGACTAAGGTGAAGTCGGTGCTCGTGGACTTCCTCATCGGCTCCGGCCTCAAGGTGCGTGAGCCGGGCCGGCCAGGACGGGGCTCGACACCCGATGACCCGGCGGTGCGCGCCGCCCGCCCGCAACGCCGCCGTCTCTCTGACCACAGACTATGTCCATCGTCAGCTACAACCACTTGGGCAACAATGACGGGCAGAACCTGTCGGCTCCGCAGCAGTTCCGCTCCAAGGAGGTGTCCAAGAGCAGCGTGGTGGACGACATGGTGCAGAGCAACCCGGTGCTCTACGCACCCGGAGAGGAGCCCGACCACTGCGTACGTGCGGGCGTCCGGGGGTGGGGGCGGCGCGCGGCCCTGTGTGACCCGGTCCCGCCCCGCAGGTGGTCATCAAGTACGTGCCCTACGTGGGCGACAGCAAGCGCGCGCTGGACGAGTACACTTCGGAGCTGATGCTCGGCGGCACCAACACGCTGG